TGGAGATGCACCTGTATATGTATATGTATATATATATATATATATATAATTTTATTTTTTGAAAATGACAGATCGTTTCGCTAAATAAGACCCTTATTGCTTGGCTAGGATCGTGTAGAGCCCTTTGAAGCTGCATTGAAACTGCAATTTAGACCTTCAACCCGTTGATCCCCATTGAAGTCCATTACATAGAGAGAAAAATCCTGGAATGTTTTCCTCAAAAACCTTAATTTCTATTCGACTGAAGAAAGAAAGACATGAACATCTTTTTCAAATTTTTATTCTGGAAGTGAACTAATCCTTTAAACCTGCAGTGCATATCTTTATTTAATTGAATCGCAGCCTTTGTGAATTCACAGTAGCACTATGCTTTATTATAATTTTTAAATGGTTGTAATATATCATGCAGCCTTAGAAGACGGTATAATAATGCTTTTCATGGATTCTTGTCTGTGGAATGTGCCACTCGAATTATTCGAGGAATCGTGGCAGTCCTAAAATTTGCACTTTGTTGAAAATGGTATAAAACCTTTTAAAAATCAAATGAAAACAACAAAAAAAGTGTGCTTTTATTGAATTTGCACTTGTAGTGTACTTCAAATCTTAAAAGTATAGTTTTAAAGAACTGTAATTGTAGATAATGTAGCATGAAATAAAAGGCCTCAAATGTGTACCTGAAGAGAGTTCAAATTAATGAGTGTTTCTTAACACACTTTATTAAAGTGCACCTATAAAGTACTAATCTCAAATTACAAGTTTTAGAGAAAAAATTTAATAATTTCAATAATCTTTTTGTCATGCATTGAAGTTTATTTTGATGTGTAATTATGCATATATTTAAAAACATGACATACAAGTTTAATTACATTATATTTTAGTTTACGATATGGCACTAGACTTTAACCATCTTTCAAAGAATTATGAATTTACATGTAAACATGCATTTAAGTCTTACTTAAATGGGCCAAGAAAGCACTCTTAAGTTAACTAGTTAATAACTAATTGTATTTAATATAAATTTTAACTATAACACAACCAATGTTTTCTCTAGGTCCATACTTCAGTGAGCAGAGCAGTTGAGTTTTTACAACTTACGACAGGAGTAGAGTTTCCACCTCCAGAAACAATGCTGCATGCATATTTGCAGTTTGAAGCCCTCACAGATCATGAATACAAGTATTCATGCCCCACCTGTGGCGATTATCCTCCGGTCGTGATCATGGGTGTACACAAACATACTGCTTCTCCATTATCAGGTATAAAAATTGTAATGCTGTTTAACATGTTGTTCTTGTCATAGTAAAATACTCAAGCAACTTTTTTCAGAAAATGACATTGAAAAACCTCCAGGGAATTTTAAAGGGGAGGTCAATCTGGAAGAGTTCTGGGAGTCACTGTCCAAAGAGATGATCAGTCGAGGATTTGTTGCAAGTACATGCATAAAGTGCTTATTACACTAAATTGTAAACTATTGGAAAGAATGCTGCATCTTATTTTCTTTTCTGCTGTTTTAGATGGCGGACACAATCCATTTGCAGTACCACCAAGTTATCACTTTTGGGCTCCTTGGATCGGCAAAAACACACGGCATTCAGACACTGTGCTAAACACGGAGTTTGAAAAAGTCCACTCTTCAAAGTCTGCATCAGAGATTTTAGAAATGACACTTACAGAGGAAAGACTCCGAGAAGAACTTTTCAAACAGAAGGTTTGCTTTATTACTATAACACTTTTAATGTGTTTTTTTTTTTTACATAAATTAATTGCATTGACATTAACATTCATAAAATAATATTGTTTTTGATAGGATGACGTGATTAGAAGTTTATGCAATGAATGTGGTGTGGACTCCACTGGATCTCGCAGTGATCTCCTTCTTAGATTGTCCGATGAAATGAAATCCAGGCAAACATATGACAAAATCTATTCAAAAATCTGGAGTGCCACTGGTGAGCTTAATTTTCACTCTACTGTTTTAACTCTATTCCTGTAAATGTGTAGTATAGTGGAAGTAATGCCAATATCTGTAAATTACTGCTTCTAACGTTTAAAAAAAAAAAGTTTATCTGCCAAATCAAAGTCATGTGGTGTGAACAACATGCACAGAAATGTCGTTGACCTTCTAATGACAAGGCAAAGGTAGTTAAAAATGTTGTTTCCCCACAAAATATTTATGAATTAGTAATTCATCACTTTTGTAAAAACACTTTTTACCTTGTATACACAATCAAAAGTTTGGGGTCAGATTTTTATGTTTTTGAGTCTCTTATTCTCACTAAGGCTGCATCATAAATGCAATAAAAACACTAATATTGTGAAATATTATTACATTTGAAAATATCTGTTTTCTATTTGAATTTATTTTAAAATGAAAATTACTCCTGTGATGGCAAAGCTGAATTAGTTCTCAAGAAACATTTAAAAATAGTTGTTGCTTAAAGGCAGGGTAAGCGATTTCTGGTAGCCAATGTTGATATTTGAAATCACCAAAACAAACACGCCCCTACCCCAAAAGGGTCTTGCCCCTATTTTGATAGCTCCGCCCCACATATACGTACGCAACCCAGGCAACGATTCGTTCTGTGAAACAAAGCAAAACCAATGTTACACCTTGTCTACGGACGTGAGCGGCGCGGCGCGGCGCAACAAATCCCCGACAGAAAACTGCTGCCGGGTTCTATTTATGACTTGCTGACACAAATTTCAAATGGTTTTCAATGGTCGTTTGATCGCGTCCAGTGTAGGCAGACTTTAGTTGTTGTAGACACGGTGTTACTCACCTATTGAGAAGAAACAAAGCAACCTCGGCGTCCGATCGCAGGCCTCCGCTCCTTGAGTTCTCTCCAGCGCTGGAAAGCTGATCCGATATTTACACGGGTCCTACTTCTTGCCTTATCGTTCCGCAGACGTTTTCCTCTTTTGTTTTTTATCCGCCATCTCTATCTTTCTGTCGCTCGGCTCGGCTAATGCCGTCCCATGCACTGAAAGCTCTCTCCTCCACATCATGAGTAGACACGCCCCTTATTGCTGATTGGCTACAAGTTTGTTTTGCTATTCGGCCCGAATCAGTTTTCTAAAGTGTTTTTGAAAAATTACATACCCTACCTTTAATATGTTTGTGAAAACCATGATTTTTTTTTTTTCTGGATTCTTTGATTAATAGAACAAAATAGAAATCTATTGTGACCTTATAAAATTCTGTTACCACTTTTGATCAATTTAATGCACATTAAGAATAAAATATTTTTTAAAGAAAATTCTCATTCCAAGCTTTAGTGTATTTTAAAATATTTAGTTGTATTTTGTAATTTGTATTTTAAAATTGTATTTAGTTAAAGTATTTGAAGAAAGATTTAAATATTAAAAGATTGTTCCTGTTATTAACCTATTAAATTGTTTTTTTCTTCTCTCTTCTGTGTTTTTCCGTCTATTATTAGGAGGCTGGGGAGTCATTATGTGCCCCTGTGGAATTGTTTACAGTCTAAAATGCAATCTTCGAGCTGAGAGCCATCAAGATTTTGCTGATTTGCTGTTATCATGGCATCATATGCCTAATGTCATAATTTATGACTTTGCACAGGCTCTCTCAAAACACATCAATCTAAGGGCACCAGAAGAGCTACCCATCTCTCCATTTGAAGGACGCCTGGTGGAACCCACTCAAGATAACACAGAACTGGCCAAGTGTGGACAGCTGAAAGTGTCCCTGCCCTGGCTGGATGAAAAAACCAGAGGCACAGAATCAGATCCTCACGGACACCCAGTGACGGGCTCATCTGATCATTACGTACTTTGTGACCGTTTTCATGAAGGCAGCACAGAAGATGGAGATGTTCTGAGGAAGCTCACCCTCGTGCCTCAGCTGGCCGACAAAGTCAATAGTGAGATTGCAGAGCAACTCTTTGCTCAAATGAAGAAAAACGACTACTTTTTGAACATGTCTTTGCCATCAACACATCTGTTTCAAATGAGGAACATCATTCACCACTATAATGAAAACAAGGCCAACAAACTGAGCACCAGATCAACCAAGAGTTTTGGATCCAACTTGCTGACTGAAGCTGTGTTGGGTACATTTTAGATTAATGTTATACAGTAATAAGCAACATCTGAAATGTTGTGGAAAGACATGGGTAAAATTACATACATATATATATATACATATCCTAATAGCACATATGTGCAGTATAAAAATCTTTAAAAAAATTTTTTTTTTTTTTTCTTCCTATTCTGTCTTTAAGCTTGACTGCACAGCACAGACAACCCACTGGAGTTGGAAACCATCATTTCTATTATATTTTTATCAAATGTTTGAATTTACTTTCATTCAAAGATGGCATTGTGCTTCCTGGACACTGGATTATTAAATTTTTTTGCCATTTGTATATAATGTAGCATTGCATATTTGTCTGCAAATTGCTTGTTTGTTTTTTGTTTTGTTTTTGTTCTCTTTTTTTCTATTTAGAATCATTTTCAATTTCAATTAAATATTCAACTGTAACTGCCTCATGGTGAGTTTTTGGTCTACATCCCTGAAGATATTCCTACAGGAGTGTTAAAATTGTTTAAACATGTCGTTTGGATATTTTATTTCTAGTTTTATTTTATTAGGATTTGTTATTGAATGTTTGTTTTGTATTCTATATAATTACACTCACATGACTACAAATACACTTTGTCTTATAATTACTGTTTGTAACATCATGAAAAAAGGGAATTGTATTATTATTTTACACTAATAAAAAACAAATGCTTTTTTAAAAAAAAAGTTTTTTTTTTTTTTTTTTTTAGTAATATTTGTTTATGGGTTTTATGTGCACACATGTAGAGTTGTTTATTTATAGATAGATACATACGTAGATGTAAGCTAAAATGAATTATGCTCCAGAACGTTAGGTGGCGCGATTGTAGTAATCTGTCGTTGGCTCCGCCCCGAGGCCGCTGCATCAATGGCTCCGCCCCGGTCAGGTTGATGCTCTTGCGCTGGAAAGCGGAGTTTGTGCACAATAGTGATGGCAGAAATATGGCTTTGTCTATCCAGCGTCAGTATAACTGTGACACATGATATGGACCCTGACAAGGTAAATTTGATGTTTGACCTATTTAAATCAGGTTACGTGCCTGAATGAGTCGCATAAATATTTCCATTTATTTTAAAATCCAATAAAATATCATTCAAGTTTGTTCCGTTTTATTGTACTGTTATCATTTTGTATTTAAGCATTCACATTGTGCCAGGAATTAAATTAAAAAATAGTCCTCTCTGACATCATAACGCTATAAAAAATATTAAACACCTTAGTTTTGAAGATACTAAATGTGTGTTGCATAGTTACATAGTAACTTAAGCCAGTCAGATATTGTAGGTCTGTCCCACCAAAAGTTACTATATTACTACAGAAGAAAAAAAGATAACATGGTATTAGACATTAACTAATAAAGAATCTAATTTTTTTTTTTTTTTAAGCAAACCCATATATACATTTATTATGGTTTTAGAACAGACGCAATAACTTTACTGTGTTTTTTTGGTAACTACTATTGTTCATTGCTTTTTGTAAGGGCACTAGGCCAGTTTTCTTCCCTCATTCCAGTTTAAAAGCCCATCATATTGTGCATGACAGTTATTTCTAATGTATCTGGTTGTGTGACTGTGGACAGAGCTCTGGAAAAGAGAAGGAATACGAGTGTGTGGAGCTTGGTGATCTAGACAGAAAAGAGAAAACCCCACGCCGCATTATTCATTTCTCCAGCGGGGAGACCATGGAAGAATACAGCACAGATGAGGAGGAGGAAGACAAAACACAGAACGCAAAGAAAGAGCTTCTGTCCTCCATAGACACTGTATGTGTGTTTGAACAAATTCTCTGAGAGATCCTTAAAGGGAAAGTTCACCCATTCTGTCATCATTTACTCACCCTCATATCATTCCAAACCTGTAATGTAGATTTTTTTTCTATACAATGAAAAAAAATCCGAATAAGACTTGAATATAACTTTCTTTTTTTTATCTTTATATTTAAGTCCAAGCTGACCTGGGGCCCGTATGTCTGGTTTCAGATGTGGAGAGCAGCTTCATCCACTATATCTGGTAAGTCTGTGATAAAACTGATGTGACAACCTGAACTTTGCTATTTTCCAGATTAAAAATGTATTTGCTGAAGTATATTGTTTGCACATTAAAGCCAATATCTATCATGTTTGCCTTCTCTGCTGATATATTTTGTCACAGATTTATTGCACAAAAAGTCGTAAATTAAACTCAATTTTTTTTTTTTATTGAGAACTAGTATCTTGTAGGGGGAAAAAGTGCATATAACCAAACATGTCAGTTTGTATAGATTAGAAGAATACTTTTAGATATTGTTTACAAATACTTTTTTAATGTCAGTTTTAAATTGTGCAAAAATATGATTTTTTTTACAAACCATTTGACTTTATAAATATAATAATTCTAATTAAATAAAAAAATAAATAACTTATTTTTACTACCTATCTACAATCATTGTTGTTGTTTTTTTTCACAGAAGGAGGAGAGAGATGAAGATACGCGGCTCTCTGAAGAGGCAGAGCACCTGTTTGAAGAGCAGCAAAATGATGAAGATGAAGATCCGGAGACCAACCAGCCCGACAACAACAGCACTCAAGTACAGATGACCAATGAGCTGGACCTTCACCCTTCTTTTGTACCCAACACAGTTCACATCCCAGCTCGTTACTAGTACTTAACTACAAACATATTTTGTCATATAATTGTGGTTTAAACACTAGCCACTATTCTTTAAAGCACTTATTACCACTCTGATTTCAAATAGTAACTTGTGTCTTCGACTGGCGTAATGCACTGATCCTGGGCCAGTGAAACTATATATACTGATCATGGTGCTAATGAGGAGGTGAGACCGAAAATGAATAACATGATTACATTGAACATTTCTACAGTATGTGTATTTTAATTGACTCTGTACAGTATGTATGTATGAGTTATTATTATTAATGTTGTGAAACATTTGATGGACCTCCATCAATACAGAGGCACATACCTCACACTAAATTTTCAGTTTTTATTTAATATACTGGTAATGCTTGATATTTGTCTTGTCATTGTTTGTACTGAATCATTAAATGGTTTTTAAAGAGAAGTGTAATTTTTTTAAATGAATGAATAAAATACTACAGTATTATATCTAATGAGACTTAAATGTTTTACCCCCGGTTTCACAGACCAGGCTTAAATCTAATCCCAGACTAAAATCTAAGTCTGAGCTGTTTCAACTGAAAGAAACTTGCTCTGACTGATCTTAAAATATGTTTAGCTGTGTTATTTTAGTATCATTGAGACACTGTGGGTCAAATTTACTAAACAGGGTAAATTAGTGTGAGAGCGCAATCCCATGAAAGCGGAAAGTTCTGGAGATGATTTACTGACAATCCACAAATTATAGAACAGATGCAGCATTTTATATTCATTAATGAACAACACAATCTGCAAAGAGCAACGCAAATTAGCATAGGATTGCAAACAAGCAGAGCCGATCATAATCAGGTGAGTGTAATCTACTAACAAAACACGCAAAATTGGTTAAGACATTATTTTTTGAGCGCTCAAATATCAGTAAATTGATTAAAGCAAACCTTAGTAAATCACCTTGCATGATTAATTTAAATAATTCAAATGAATACTCTCCCTTCTATAAATTTTGCATCTGAAAGGGAAACTCCTACAAATGCATATGCAGTAAGGTCAGCCATAAAAATAATTGTGGCCATGCTTTTTCATCGCTAATGATTCACTGCGTGTCTTTAGTAAATCCTGACAAATGCCAAGTGAGGGTTCGCACTGACACAAGCTGTTATATACACGTCTGGAGAGCCAGCTAGTCTTTACTCATTTTTATTTTGGTTGTAGTTTTAGTTATTTGAATACATCAGGTTAAATTAAATGAAAAGTTACATTTCCTTGGCAACTAATTGAAATAAAATAATACATTTTAAATAATCTTTAAAAAATATTTCAGTTAACATTTATTTCAAGTAACAAAAACGTTGTTTTAGTTAATTATAATTACCCTGGTGTTTAGCTCAGGGTTGGGTTTAGAAAATGCTTGATTTTAACCATTACATTTTTAAGGTTTGAAATGTGCTTGAATTTTGAATATCATCCTTTAAAATGCTTAGTGTGTGTGTGTGTGTGTGTGTGTATTTTAAGTTTATTTATGTATACTTTTGTGTTATTCTACACTGGCATTTCTTTACAGAAAACTAGTTAAGCTGCAATCCATCTGACTCTATTTTTGCCACTTTTACCATTACATTTTTAAGGTTTGAAATGTGCTTGAATTTTGAATATCATCCTTTAAAATGCTTAGTGTGTGTGTGTGTATTTTAAGTTTATTTATGTATACTTTTGTGTTATTCTACACTGGCATTTCTTTACAGAAAACTAGTTAAGCTGCAATCCATCTGACTCTATTTTTGCCACTTTTGGATTGTCATGGAAATGCAATATTGATTTTTCTTTTGCCGCTGAAGCAAAGGGATCATACAAAACATTATTTGCAATGGTTTCCCTTTCACAGTACTTTATCCTACTTACTTCTGAACTGTTTTTGTGATTTTTATTAAGTGAATGTATAAATGAAATTGCTGGGAAAGTGCTTGAATTTCACTCTTAAAACTCTCGGAAGCCTGTCGGTTGGATGGGTTTGTATGTGTCGTGTGGGTAGAACTGTGCTCTCTCACTGATAGATACGGTTTTGTCTTGGCCAACAAAGGTCTCAATGTCTGTGTGGTACTGAAGGCCAGCTGAGCATGTCCTCAGCGTAACCCTGCTCATCTGAGAAAGGCTGTTTTTATCCAACACAGGGACATTCATTAGGACATGATCCAAATTAGCATTACTACAACTCCATCAGGTTCATTTCACATTTCACAACTCATTTTCACTTTGCAAGCACATAAGGCAATAAAATGGCTAATAATGAAGGGAAGATTTTGAATAAATTTGTGGATCCTATCGTGTAAAGCTGTTGAGATGAATGACTCCTGAACCTCCAAGCCAGTCTTGTGCATTGAACAGAGGCCAGCTGATACGCTTTGCACTCCCCTGACCTCAAGACGCGTGTTAGCACCTGACTCTAACTCACAGTGTGTGTGCACTAAGTCGTATGAGTTAAATGCAGAGGACAAATTCTGAGTTTGGGTTACCAGACTTGGCCTTCACGTCACTTCACTTCATTCCATCCTATGAAGTCTAAACCGTAAGCAGCTATTTTATGACATGAGAAATTGATAATCATCCTATTCAAGCCTCCTCCAATTGCAAAGCCTGTATCAATTGCAAAAGGAAAATAGTGTTAATTATGAGTTCTGTTAAAGGGGTCATATGATGCGATTTCAAGTTTTCCTTTCTCTTGGAGTGTTATTGTGCATAGATAAGATCCCTGAAGTTGCAAAGACTAAAGTCTCAAAACCAAAGAGATATTCTTTATCAAAGTTAAGACTCTGCCACGCCCCCCTAAAACGGCTCGTTCTAAAAGGCCCCCACATATCTACCTCACTATGTGGGAAGATTTGCATAATGCGGCCCAAATGTTCACGCAAAGAAAGAAGGCGTGGTTTCAGGAACAGCAGTAGTGTTGATGCAGCCATGTCAGTGCGAAAGACAGATTTCAGCTGTCTTAACCGTGGCTTGTGTACTGCAAACGCATACCAGCTTCATCACTGTGTCTGTCACGTGACTCTGTTCCCACATTATTTACTGTCTTTACATTTATTTTGAAAGATGAAGCTCGCAAATATGGTAAGGGGTGTTACATTTCTGACGAGTGCTTGTCGTGTTCGGCCAATCACAATGCACTGGGTCAGCTGGCCAATCAGAGCAGACTGCGCTTGTCAGAAGGAGGGACTTTGTAGAAAACGAAGCGTTTGAGAGAGGCGGGGCATAGAGGACCTACAATAATGTACAGTATTTGAAAAATAATGTGTTTTTTGAACATTAAAGCATGTCAACATATTCTGTTACACCAAATACACAAAATAATGATCTTTAAAAAAGCATCATATGACCCCTTTAACAACCTAATATTGGTACTTCTTCCTACCTGAAACTGAAAAACATCCCAAGAACGATTCAGGCCGATTTCCTCAGATGGTGCAGTTTGTTGTTTCAAAACAAATAAAATGAACAACTGTGTTAATTATAAGTTCTACTGACAACCTAAAAATAGGTATTTATTCTTACCTGAAATTGAAAATCATACCATGAAAGATTCAGGTCGATTTCCTCCAATAGTGTCGTTTGTTGTTTCAATACAAAAAAAGATCAATAGTGTTAATTATGAGTTCTACTAACAATCTAAAAATAAGTAGTTTTTCTTACCTGAAATTTAAAAAGCATCCCAAAGACTCAGGCTGATTTCCAACTTTATTCAAATGCTGCAGTTTGTTGTTTCAACACGGAAAAAAAACAATAGTGTTAATTATGAGTTCTACTAACAACCTAAAATTAGTACTTCTTCCTACCTTAAAACTGAAAATCATCCTAAGAACGATTCAGGTCGATTTCCTCCAATGGTGCAGTTTGTTGATTCAAAACAAATAAAATGAACAACTGTGTTAATTATAAGTTCTACTCAGTGGTGTAGTCTACGTGATACGCAGGTATACGCCGTATACCCACTAGGAAAGGCGAATGATTTCCGTATACCCACTTAAAGTCCCCATGAAATCAAAATTAATTTTTTTTGGGTGTTAGTATCAATATGTTAGTCTTAAGGTTATCTATAAGGCAGTGTGCTCCAAAACAGTGACAAAATTTGCATTTACAAGATATAAGCATTAAAAGCTTGCAGTTCGTCACTTCTGCCAAAATGGCTCAACGATTTTTTTGACGTCACATCGTACTTCAGCCTGTTTCTAAGCATTTCAGGGGACCTTTAAAAAAGCACAAGGATATGTAACAACATCATTTTGTAACAGAACTTTCATACGTTCATTCATAAATTCACCCTGTCCATGTTGCGAAGCACCTACTTCTTGAAAATCACGCCGTGTTTCTGTTGATGACCAGTGCTATTGCGCAAGCAGCTCAGTGTGAATCACTAAAGGAGATATGAAACGAAAGCAAACTCAAACACTTTCGGTGTTTTCGTAAGCCTGCCCCTGAAGCTGCTGCTGCTTCAGCTGCAGCAGATGACACGGAATGCTTGAATGTGCTTAAAAAACATGCAAATGATTACGTTTCGTGAGGACGCACCAGTGGCCCCATCGGAGCAGTGACAGATCAGTCAACTGTACCGAACGTCTTTCACACTAATCAGATAGTCACTACCTGACATGGTCATGATCAAATATGTTAGCTTTGCTTGGCGGCATAAAGGAAAAGTATGCAATTATTTGTAAATTTAACTGTCTGAAAACGAAAGTAAATGAGGGGAGTTGAAAGATTTCTTATCCTGTGGCTCCCTCTAGTGGACTGCAGTTGTCCTCTAGAGCAGTATTTCCCAACCTTTCTTTAGTCGCGGCACCCTTTGGAAATTTTAACAAATTTGTGGCACCCTACAAAATTAATTTTGTCACAATAGTTGAATTTCTAACTTCGATATGATACTTTGAAAAGTATAGATATTCGGTACAGCAGGAAAGAACTGCAGAATATACTGTCATATAGATATTTTTAATATTATAAAAAAAAATTG